AACATTATATATATATTTTATGAGAAATATAAATACAAATACAATTGTGAAATAAATATAAATTTTTGGAAATAATAACCAAAAAAAAAAACATTTTTGTTAAAAAAAATCATTAGTAAATAATTTGATTATCAATTGTTAATTAATAAATTTACAAAAAAAACACACATAATATAAAAACATTTAGACAAACACACACACACACCCAACACATTGGGGGGGGGAGGGGAGGGGAGGGGGTTAATCGCACCAATTGTTAACATCATTATCATCTTGATTATCATTATAAGTATTATTATTATTATTGTTAATATTATTATTATTATTAGTAGTATAACTATTATTAGTATTATTATTAACCATATTATTATTATTACTATTATTATGGGTATTATTATTATTATTATTATGAGGACAGCATCCATGGCTATTACTACTACTACTTGTATTGCAATTATCATACAAATAGGGCGAGTGATGGCTATCGTAGGAACCGATGACAACATAGTCGCCGCTATCATCAATAGACGGTATGATATCAAACGGCATTACCGTATAGACGCCGTCATCAGTGACCAGGTGCTCATGTTTGCACTGTTGTTGCTGCTGGTGCTGGTAGTGTTGCAGATAGTGGTCATGGTGTCTATCAGTACCGGCACCGGGAACGGTACCATTGATACCGTTTTGTTGTCCAGTATTAACATCATTAGTAGTAGTAGTAGTAGTAGTTGCAGTAGTATTAGTAATAGCACCGGTAGTAGTATTATCTACCGGTACTGTATTAGTAGTAGTAGTAGTTGTCATAGTATGTGTTGGTGGTGGTGGTAGTGGTAATGTCATGTCGTCTATATTATCATCATTATCATTATCATTTTTACTACTACTACTACATGAGCAACAATAAGCCATACAGGAGCCCATAATTTTATCTAATGATTATTTTTAAGCTTTAAGCATGTATAGATTTTTATTATTATTATATATATATTTAATAGTTATAGTTATATTAATAATAAATATGTAATTATTATTATTATTTTAACTTAAATTATTCAAGCACATTATATTAGTTATTGTTTATTATGTTTAAAATAATATTTATGTTTACTTATATATATATATATATACTAGTATAGTATATATATATAAATATATATATATTCTGTATATAATATTTTATTCAACATTATTATTGTACATAACAAATATTAGCCAAAAAAAACATAGTATTATTATATAAATATTATTAACACATTTCATTCAATAAATAACGTATTATATTTCAATATAATAAATATATATAGAAATATATATTCTGTTAAAAAATGTTTAAATTTATTTTAAATGTGTATTTTTTAATAATATTTAAAAATAAATAATATACTATATTATAATTAATTTAATAATAATTTGCTCACAAAATAGACTATATTTACAAGATTGTTTTAACTAGTTAAATTATTTTTATATATTGAAATAATTTTACAGTTTTTTTTAAAAATTAATATAAATTATTTGCTATTAGTACTGTATTGAGTTAAAAATTTAGTACCACAAAATAATTTATAACAAATAATTAGATTAATTTCAAATATACCAAATAAATTAATAATTGATTGTTATTTATTATTATAAATTATTAAAAATGTTATAAAATATTAATAAATATAAAAGTAGTAATAATCCTTTCTAAACTATATAAATAATTATTTATTATAAATTTATTTTATGTTATTTTAAATTAGAAATTTACAGTTTGCTAAATTTTAACTAATTAATAAAATAAAATTATTTATATTTATAAAAAATTTGACTAATTATTTAAAAAAATAAGTATTATTAATTACATTTATTTTATTATTGTAGATATATTTTAAATATTTCTCACACAATAAAAATGACTCTCCTATGCAAACTAATAATATTAAAACTAATTGATTAATATATTATTGTTACAGTATTATTTTATTGTACAGTACAGAATAATTTAATATTTTTTAATAATAAATTTATTTAAAAAAAATTAATTAACAAATTATTTTATAAAAATAATATTAGTCTAAAGATAACTTAATAATCAAATAAATTGTGTTTTTTTATTTCGAAAAATAACTATATATTTTATTTTACTATATTCTATGTATATATATATATATATATTTATATTCAAAAATAATTTTAATTTTAATATTAAAATAAAAATAACAACAACAAAATTTATACAATTATACAAATAATAATAATTATAATAAAAATCATACATTTTTTTCTAAATTAATTAATGAAAAAAAATTTTTGCATACAATAAATACTAATTACATTGTTATATAACTTAACACAAAAAAAAACATTAAAAAATTAGACTTTTATTTCAAACATCAACCAAATCAATACCAACGATGACACCGATGACCAACAATAGTTTAGTTGGCGTACTAGTCGGCCAATTAGGTTGACATCCCTGAGCTGACCAGTGCCGACACCGATTGTCGGTACCGATCGATTACGACAAAAACCGTCGCCATATTTAATTTCATGACATTTCGGACCCAAAACATTCTCGACATTATAATCGCTAAATCGTTTCAGATCCCTGGCCTCATCATCGGGACATACATTCAGGGCATAACTATACAGACATTTCCATTGCATACGATATTCACAGCACCGGATCTCTTCTTCGGTAATACCTTTCAGTTCAATACCTTTCAATGATATCTTATTTTCGCAACGATTTTCATATGGATTCAAACGATCGGTACATTTGCGACACTTGTCCGTACATTTTGGTGGCGACTCTTTGCGTTGTTGGCCTCCGGCAGCACCGGTAGCCTGACTTACCAGTAGTAGACCAATGATTATTAGGGTAGTATAGACCCATATAGTGGTCAACTGTTTTAGTTGACAATAGGTTTTTTTCGGTGGTGTCAATAGTTTCATCACTTTTTTATTAATTATTAATTATTAGTTTATTTAATTTTTTTTTAAATATTAATATTGCGTTTATTTGTTTAAAAATAATTAATAATTTTTATTATTATTATTATTATAATTATAAATAGTTTAATATTAAAAACTTATTCTATAATAATAATAAAATTTTTTGTATAAATTATAAATTATTATTATTTAGTTTTTTTAAATAATATAATAATTTTTTTCCAATGATCTGATTGATGTAAATGATGTTAATTTAAACATATATTATATGTTTTTAATAAAATATTATACAAAATTAAGTAGTAGTAGTAGTCGACAAAAAAATGATATTTAATTTATTATTATTATTATCATCAACAAAAATCAAAAAATTAATTAAATAATTACTATAATAAATTTAATTGAAAAATTTCTACAGAAAATTAATAATTGTTATAAATATTATTTTTTTCCACATAAAACTTATAGTTTTGAAATATTTATTTGATATCAATACTACTACTAATAATAATAATAATGTCAATGTTTATTATAAAATTTTATTTTTTTACAAAAAAAATCAATGACTTTTTTATATTTATTTAATCAATAATATATATAAACCAGTAATTGACATTTTTATCGTATTTTATATCTATATATTAAACATTATTTAAAATATATGACTGTTTTTACTATCACTGACTGACTGACTATATGTTTGACGTTTAAATTTATTAGTTTTTAAAAAAAAAATTATTTTTAATGTGTGTGTATGATATTAATAAAAATTTTATTAGTAATATAACATAATTATATACAATATATGATATAATTATATTCAAATCACATAAATATCAATTTGGTAGCCAATGTCAACTGATATATATATATACTGTATATATAGTATTAATAACTACAGTATAGTTAGGTAAGTGGACACACCATACCTATACATACCTATACATTCAATACTATTACTACTACTAACTAACTAACTAACATACTGTACCTCCAAGTGCTCTCATGGGAACACACGTCAAAATCATTAAACCGTTAAATAAAAAATTAACTTTTTTTTATTAATATTATTTTTTAATAGATATCTAATATCGATATTTTAGATGATGTTTCTAATACTGTATTATGTATTAATAAAATAATATATATATATATAGTTATTATTAATTATTTTTTTAGGTTTATATGTTATAAGCAATTTAGTTGCAATTTAGTTGATATAATTAAAAGACCAATTATTACATCTACTAGTTTATTTTTAAAAAATTATATAAATTAATTTATATTTTAATTCATAAATTACAGTTTTTTTTAAATGTTTTAATTAATATTTATATATATATATTAAACTTATTTAAAACTATTAATATATACTAATTAAATAAATAATTATTTAAAAACAAAATAATATATTTATTAGTTATAATTAAAATATTTAAATAACAATAATTTTTAAAAATAATTTAATTATGAATTAAAAAAAACTAGTAATTAATTAATTCGAATAAAACTATTTTTAATTATTTAAATTAAATATATTTTTCTTAATTACATCTAATTTCTATTAAATAGTTTTTAATATATTGTAATTTATTTCTACTTTATATTTATACAATAAATAAATATATTAAAATTATTGTAATGTAAAACTAAAAAACACTAATAGAAATATTTGGTATTAATATAAATAGAGAGATATTAATTAACTATATAAACATAAATGTGCAGTGTCATTTTTTGTAGTTGCTATTAATTACTAGCAATTTTATTGATGTCATTATCAATAATAATAATTTTTTTAAAAATATTTCAAATAACATTTAGACAAACATTACTAATGAAAAAAAATTAGTACAAAAAAATATAACAGCAATAACACTAATACACTAATAAAAATATTTTTATATATTTTAATAAAGTTAAAATCAAAACAATTTATTAAATATTTTATTGTTAATTTTTTTTATAGATAATTACAGTCAAAAAAATGGTCAAAAATAATAATTTATCTGTTATAATTATATTATTAGCCAATTATGTACAATCTACTAGTTTTTTAATTATCAACTATATATTACCTAGTTTAATTACTGATGGATTAAAACAACAAGATGCAGGTAATCAAAAAAAATTTAATAATAATAATAATAATTTTTATTATTAATAATATATTTTTAGTTAATTTATTATTATTATTATTATTATATTTTTGTTTTTCAATAAATATTTTTATTCAAAAAAAAAACTGTAATTTATACATAAAATTATTTTAAAATATATTTTGTATAAAATAATATATAAAAATATAGTTGTAATATGAATTCTGTAAAACAAATTTTTATAATAAACTAGTATTACTGTAATAATCTATATTAATAACTATGTAATTAACTTTTAAAAATGTTAATTATTAATTTATAAATTATATAATTTCTTAATATTTTAGCACTTACTTTTTTTAAAAAAAATATAATAAAATAAATCTAAAAAGTCTAAAAAACACATTTAGTTACCTTTTTAAAAAAAATATATAATAAACTTATTTATTATGTTATATAACTTAATAGTTAAAAATAAAATAAAACAAAAATCTATAATTATTATTAAATAATTATAGAAATGTAAGTTTAACTCTAAGTTTTAATTATTATTATTATTTTTATACACAAAAATTAAATATAAAAAATTAATTTATTTTAATTTAATTTATTTAATTGCAAAACTATAGGTGCAATCATGAGCATCGGTGGTCTCAGTTCATTGTTGATAACACTACCGGCCGGCCTACTAGTCGATCGTATCAGTCCTAAACTGATGCTCGTAACCGGTCTACTAGTGGCCAGTATAGCTACCGGTGTTTTTGCATTGTCTACAACATTGGCCAACTATACGATGAGTTGGTTTATCAAAGGACTGGGCGATGGTCTAGCACTGGCCACATATGGTGTATTGATTAGGCGAGTGGCCAGTCCCTCGAAAATGGCATCCCTTACGGCAATGTTTATGATGACCTACAATATTGCCGGTATAGTTGAACCCGTATTGGCCAATACATTGATCCAGTGGTTTAATTGGCGTGTCTATGTATTGGTTAATTCAAGTTTGGTAGCACTGGTATTGGTGGCTAGTATATTGTTTTTAGATACCGGTGCTAATCCTAACCCTGATGATACTAATAAAAATAAGCTAGATAAAAAACACCATGATAAAACTAACCCGTCAAGCATGCTCAATGTATTAGCTAACCCGTTACAATGGACAGGTATAGGTGCAATGTTTACCCTATTTCTATCGCGTATGGTATTGGGTCAATGGGCTAAAATCTACCTGTCCAATAGCCTAGGTCAAGATAATTACATATCGATGGGTTTCGATGGTTTTATTAATATGGCAGCATTGGGTGCAAATTTTTTCATTGCCTACCTAAGCGATAGGGCAATTGTTGGCCTGGATAAACCTAGCTTGGTTAATTATCGTTTTAAAATGTTAATGATATTGGGTATAGTTTATACGGTTGGGTTGCACCTGTTTAGTTTTCAGGCCAACCAACAATCATCATGGTTATTTTTCATATTGATTGCCTGCCTGATTGGTTTGGGTATGTCTGGTAGTGCACTACACCAATCGTTGCTTATCTATGATTTGGATCCCATGAATCCGGGTATCTGGTCGGCCATCAATATGTTTGCCATAACAGGTAATTGTTAAAAAATTTAATTTTTAAATTAAAAAATATTTTTTTTTAAATTTATAAATAATTTTTTTTTAAAAAAGGGTCGTCAATATTGGCCGGTTATCCAATTAGTTCAATGGCCGATAGCTATGGTTGGCAGCAAACTTATATTGGACTGGAAATGTTATGTATCGGTGCAGTTGCCCTAACTTTTTTAGTAACCAAATATTATGTTAATAAAATTAAACAAGATTAATTTTTTTTTTGTTAGAAAACTTTTAAAATTTATAAATAAAATAAATTACATTTTATAATATTTTTTCAGATAATAAATAGCAAACAAATAAACAAATAATATATTGTAATCTATTAACTAAAATCATTATTTAATATTTTGATTATTATTAAAACAATTATAATTATAATGAATGTGAATATAAATTTTATAATAATAATAAAAATAATTAAATAATTTTAAGCATAGTTAGTACAATATTAATAATATATTATGATATACTATATAAGTTATAAATATATTTTTGTTAACTTTTTCTAAAAAAAATTAATTAATTTAAAATTGTTATATAAATGATTATAGATTAGATAAAATAGATTTAATTATTATTTATTATATAGCTAACTAATCAAAGTAGTATTTAATATTATTTTATTTAAAATTATTATTATAGATAATATATTTAGTTTATTAGAATTTAATTATATATAACTTTTTTTTGAGCAATATTTATATTTAATAATCAAAATAATAAATTAAACTGTAATTTATAATATAGAATATAAGTTATTTAATTAATTACATAATAATTAATAAAATTAGATTAGATGCAAAACTCAGTTTAATATATATACAGTATATATATAATATTATTATTATTATTTTAAACAAAATTATATTTAGTTAATTAGTAAAAAATTATTATTATAATAATAATTTTACATACATATATTTATACTGCATACTATATAGCATACTAATATAGCTTGAATAGATTTTTTTTGAGATTTTTGATAAATAAATATAAATAAAATGTTTTTTAAAAGTTACAAGTTAGTCTAAATAATAATAACATTACATTATTTTTTTCAAACAAAAAATTAAATATGTTATAATTATAATATATTTAATAATTAATATATTAATTAAAAAATTAATTAATTAAATAGTTTTGATAAACAATTTAATTTATATATTAAACTGTAGTTTAATTTAATAGTATTAATATAAATTATAATTATTAAGATAAAATTATTATATTTCGATACATTGACATATTTAATTTTTCTTGAAAATAATTATAGTCATATAGTTTTAAAAAAATAAATTATTATAATAATATAAAGTATAATACTTTTATTATAAATCTACTTTATTTTACCTAGTTTAGTTAGGAATTATTTAAAACAACAAGATGCAGTTAATAATAATAATAAGTTTTTGTTGTTGATTATATTTGTTAATACAAATATAAATTAATATATTAGTAAAAAATTTTTGTAAAACAAATAATTTAAAATAATAAAACATTAAAATTTAATAATTATATATTAATAGTTTTTAAATCAGTTACGTTAAGTTATGTTAGATAAATAGTTAACAAATATAAATACATATAATTTGGTTAGCAAAACAATATATAATTTATATTTATAATATTTAATTATATTAAAAATTAAGTCATAATTTTGTATAAACAAAAAAAATATATAATAAAATTTATAGTGTATATATTTATAAAAGATTGTTTGAATTAAAGTTAGATATTAAAAATTTTAAAAAATAAAATTAAGCAAACTATCTTAAAAATTATTATTAAAAATTATTTAATTCTAATATATTTTTATTAAAAACTGTACATTAATTAATTTGTTATTATTAATTATATAAAGTAAATTCAATAATTAAATATATTAGACTGGAGGACTAGATACTAAACTTAAAAAATACAATTTTTATAGTTAGTTTTTAAATAAAAAAAAATTATCAAATAAAATTTTGAAAAGTTTAACAATAATAATACTAATAACAATTTTTGATCAATTAATTTAATATATAGTTTAGATAAAAACAATTTAATGATTATTTATAAAAAAATTATTTATTAATATAATAATATAAATTTTAAAAAATACAGCTTCTTGTCAAATTATGAAAATTAAAATTTATAATAGACTAAAATTTATACTATAACTATAAATATAATAATCATTTGTTTAATAAAAATTTTTTAATATATTATTTAATTTATTTTAAGTAAAATTAATATCTAATTTATTTGCTATTTGAAAAAAAATCTATAGTTAATGTTTATTATTTGATAAAATTTGGGATATATTTGTATTCAATATTATAATTAAAGTTATATATTAATATTTTTTAACTTTTTACTTATATATTATATATCAATATATATATCTAACTTTTTTTTGAGGAATATTTAGATTTAAAAATAAAATATTAAATTAAACTGTAATTTTAATTATTGAATATAAGTTATTTAATTAATTAAATAATAATTAATAAAATTTGCATTTTAAAAAAAATATTGATAATATAGTGGCGGTAATTTTTTCATATATAAAATAATTAAAAAAAATTATTTCTTGTGTAACAATACTATAAAAATAATTGCATAATTTATATATAAATAATTTTTTAGTAAATTTATTAAAATTTACAGTTTGGTTCAATTAATTATAAAATAATATATTATTATAATGTATATATTTTTAGTTAAAAACATTTATTGCAAATATTGCAACTTATTAAAAGCTAACTAAAATATAATATTTTATAATTAATTGAAACAAACTGTAAATTTTTAATAAATTTACTAAAAAATTATTTATATATAAATTATTCAATTATTATAATAGCATACTATTACCCGAAATATTTTTTTTAAATTAAATATTCTATGAATATTACCAGTACTATATTATCAATATTTTAAAAAATACAATATTTTACAAATATTTTTTTTTACAAATAAATAAAATATATATATATATTTCAATATACTCTGTAATTAACATCTATTTAAATAATAGTATTTAGTTTAGCTATAATTATCGTAGACATTAAAAATATTATTGAATATAATTAAACAATTTTTATTAAAACAAAAATAAATTTCTAAGAAACTGTAATTTATATAGTAAATTATTAATTGAATTATAAAGTATTTACAAAATTATTTATATTAAGATAAACGGCATTTTATTTTAGTGTATTTTTATATATATACAGTACAACTAATATAATATATAGTATTAAAATTATTATTAATCTAAATAAATAAATAAAATAAAAATTATTAAAATTATATAGTATTTTATTTATTTAAAACTAAACTATTTTTTATTGAATAAAATTGAATAAACTGTAACTTATTTAATAATTTGTTATTTAGTGTACTGTATATATAGTAAATTTTATAAATTAGTATGCAATTATAAAATGGTTATTATTTTAAATTATGTAATGTTTATTTATGTAAAAAATAATTGTAAATTACACTAAAAATACATTTTAATTGTCACAAACAAAATGTGATAATTATGTTAAATTAAAATAATTAATTTATAAAAATTTAAAAATTTGTTTTGATTTTATAAATACTATAATTTAGTTTATTAGTGTAATATATTTATTAATAATTGTAAAACTCAATAATTTAAACTTAATTTTATTATATTATTTTTAATTATTTCACTATATATTATGCTTAAAAATTACTTGAATAGAATTTATATATATTATAATTTAAATTTAAATAAATATAATTGTTTAATTGAAAATTAAAATAAATTTTGGTAAAATTTAAATAAAATTGTACAACACTAAATTAATATAATTATATATATAATAATTTTATTTTAAACAAAATTAATTTTGAAATATAATCAACAACAAAAAATAAACAAACTATATTAGTTAATTAGTAAAAGTTTATTATTATTATTTTATACATATACAGTTATTGACTAAATAAATTAATTAAATATTTTAGATAAAAAAATTGTAAAAAAATTGATTATTAAACTTTAATTTATTTGAATAACATTTTATTAAAAATCCTATAATAATTATCATTAAAATCATAATTTTAGTCATTAGTTATTTTATAATATTATTTTAAAAGTTTTATTTTATTATCAACTAAATATTACCTAGATAAATTAAGTCACAAATAATAATAATAATTATAACTAATATATTATTTTTTCAATAAACATGTTTTTTAAGCTGTAATTTATAGACAAAATTATATATTAATATATATTTAAAAATATATATATAATTATTAGATGTGAACACCATTCAGAAAATTAAATTTTATAATAGACTAGAATTATTAAACTTAAATAATTAATGTACTTATCATTGCTTATTATTATTTAATTTTTTTTTAAAAAAAATATCAATTAATATATAAATAATTATAAAATACATAAAATAGATTTAATTATTATTTACTATATATCTAATTATATACTTTAAAAATATACTATAAAAATTTCTATTATAGATTAAATTTTAATTTTTATTATAATATTTTTTTAAAAATTATTTTGAACGTAAATGCAAAAAAAAATAAGTACCTGTAGTTAAAACTTATTATTTGATAACATTTAGATTCAATAATATATTATTATTATTATTACAACTTAATTATATATAACTTATTTTTAGGAATATTTATATATTTAATAATAAAATAATAAATTAAACTGTAATTTTTAATATAGAATATAAGTTATTTAATTAATTAAATAATAATTAATAAATTTAGCCAGAGGAAGACTCTTTTTAAACATAAATATTATAATTTTATTTCAAACAAAATTAATTTTGAAATTTTAACAAAAAAAACAAATTATATTTAGTTAACTTGTAAATGTTTATCATTATTATTATATACGTCGTATATACTGTATATTTTATGTTTATGTTAATCTATTATAATAATATCTAAATGTATATATATGATTGAATGCACTTTTAAAATTTTTGATTAATAATAATATTAATAAAATGCTATTTTCATATTACAAATTAGTCTAAATTATATTTACATTATATTAATTATTTTTACAAAAAAATATTAAATACGTTATTTACTAAATAAATTAATTAAATATTTTAGATAAAAAATTGTACAAAATTGATTATTAAACTTTAATTTATTTGAATAACATTTTATTAAAAATGCTATAATAATAATCATTAAAATCATAATTTTAGTCATAAGTTAATTTACAATATTATTT